AGAATGCCGTTTACAGTTACCATTATGCTCTTGTGATGATGAGGAGCTCAGTGAAGCAGTGCTAAAGCACTTGGCTGCTAACCAACAGGTCAGTGATTTGAACTCCCCATCTGCTTTGTGAGAGAAAGAGTGGTGTTCCACTCCTCTAAAGCCTTAGAAGAAAACCCCATAGGGCATGTCTACCCTGCCCTATACAAAGGACTGCTCAGAGTTAGAGCTGACTCGACAGCAGTGATTTTTGCTTGGTTGGTTGGTTGCTTTATGATGATAAGAGTGCAAAGAAATGATAGACTGAAAAAACAATAACCTACAAAAGACAATTCTAAAGAGAAAAACAGTAGGTAAGAGGCATTGTCGCAAGCTGATTTAAACAGGGAACAGAAAATCACACCAACTAGAAAAAGGAGTCCTTTTGAAATGAAGGAAATGTTCTAAAATTGATGGAAATCATTGTATTATATATTTAAATTGAGAGAGTTTTATGGTATGCTGTTTATAGTTCACCAAAACAATGTAAAAAATAAAACCAAGATGGAATTAAAAAAAATAATTCTTCACTAATTGATAGCTATACTTGAACCAGGAGGCCTTTGTCAGAACAGAGCAAGTAAACACTGCATGGTTCAAGATCAAGAAAGCTGTGCCCAGGGATGCAGCCTATCTCCATACCTTTTCAATCAATACTCAAAATCATTTGGGAGGCTGGACTTTATGAGGAGGAGTATAGCATTAGTATTGAAGGAAGATTGATCAACAACCTGTGTTATGCAGATGACATAGCCTTGCTTAATGAGAGAGGAGGACCAGAGGCATTTGCTGCAGAAGACTGTAGTCTGCAATATGGATTGAAGCTCAACATCAAAAAAAAAGAATCCCACTACTGGGCCAATTGTCAGCATCACGATAGACAATGAAGAGACTGAAATTATTAACAGCTTCAGCTTCCTTGACTCAGCAGTCAACATTCTTGGTACCAGTAGCCAGGAAAAGACAGTTGCATAGGGAAAGTCTTCTGTGAGTGACCTCTCCAGAGTACTGAAGAGCAAAGATGTCAGTCTAGAGACTAAGGTGTGCCTAACCAAAACCATGATCTTTGCAATTACTTGTTGTGCCTCAGAGAGCTGGAAAATGACTAAGGATGATAGGAGAATTGATGCCTTTAAGTTCTGGTCCTGGGGAAGAGTATTGAACATATTCTGTACCTGGACTGCTAAGAGAACAAACAGGTCTGTCCTGGAGAAGGTGAAACCAGTTTGCTGCTTGGAGGCAAGGATTTTGAAGGTCTATCTCAAATACTTGGGCATGTTGCCTTGGAGGAATCAGGCCTTGGAGAGGGACATTGTGCTTGGAAATGTGGAGGGATAGCACAAGAAAGGAAGATCCTGGATGAGGTGGATTGACTCAGTGAATGAGATAATGGCAGTAGGTGTGTCAGAGACAAAACTAGCAGGTTTCAGAGCTGTTGTATATAGGGTTGCTATAAGTCACAAGCTACTCAACAGCACATAACAGAGGTAACTACGATACTATAATTATTTTCCGTATTTCTTTGGATATGAATTATTACTATAAGTAAGAGCTAAATTAACTCATTGTCTACAAAGTATTTCAGAGAAAGTAAAAATAAATTTTATTTCTTGGTAAAATACATTGTTTTGTGATACCAGAATTGATGGAGTTCTTAGTATAAAACGTCTTCATCACATTCCTAGAATCTATTTTATTATGCAGAATTTGGGTTATTTCTCTCTGAGCCATAAAAAACAGACTAGTTACAAGTTATTTTATGTTGCTGGTATTTTGTTTACATTAAGTTGCAAAAATTAGAACAAATGAATTGATGTGTTCTGAAGTATCAGAATTGATTTGATTTATCAATATAGCCTTGTTTTCATTTTCTTAAGCAAATTGTTTATGATCCATCCTTCTCTCCACCACCACCAGTGTATTATACTTGGTTTTATTGATATTGTTTAAGATATTGTTTTGTGTTTTGAAGTACATATTAGGGGAAGAAATATCTTCCATGAGTCTGATATTTTATACTGATTTTTATAGTCTTAAGTATATGTGTATATTTTTGACTATGTGTATACTTTAACTATGTCTTGTGAAACTGCACCCATGGATATAATAAAGTCAAAATAGTCTAAAAATCTAGTCAAGATTATTGACATCATTTAACTCTTTTGAAATCCTGAGGACATCAAGGGTTGCTGATGATGTGAAAAGACAGATTTTGTAATTAAAACCCACATGTAATTTTAGGATGAATTGAGGTTGCTTGATTTTCCATTAGTTACGTTATCATATATTAAATTGTGTTACTTGAAACACTCAAATGTTGATAATGATAGTTGTTGTTAATATTAGAATGAACACATAACATTGGCTGTATATCATACTCTGTTCTTATATGAATGAATCTAGTTCTCACAAACCTATGAAGTTGTTGGTGTTAAATACCCTCTAGTGGGTTATCAGAGCAATAAAATTGCTCAGGAAGAGATTGCCTATCCTTCCCCAGGAGCAGCTGATAATAGCTAGTAATGTCTTCATTTAACTGATATGTTGTTGTTATGTGCCATGGAGTTGCTTGCGACTCATAGCAACCCTATGTACAAGAGCCCTAAACGCCATTCTATCCTGTGCCAACCTCGCTGTCTCAAACACATTCATTCCCACCACTCCACTCACAGAATCGAGCCATCTCATCGAGGGTCTTCCTCTCCTGCGCTGTCCCTCCACTCTACCAAACATGATGTCCCTCTCCGAGGACCAGTCCCCTCCTTGCAACATGCCCAAAGTATGTCAGACGAAGCTTGAGAATCCTTGACTCCAGGGAGCATTCTGATTTCACCCTCTCCAGGACAGACAGACCTGTTTGTTCTCCTAGCACTCCATGGTATATTCAGCACTCTTCTCCAGCACCACACTTCAAAGGCATCAATTCTCTTTCTGTCATGCCTATTCACTGTCCAACTCTCCGATGCATAGCATGTAATTGCAAAGACTATAGCCTGGATCAGGTGCACCTTAGTCTCCAGCTTGATATCGTTGCACTTCAGTACTCTTGAGAGGTCCCTCACAGCTGACTTTTCCAATGCAATTCATCTCCTGATTTCCTGGCTGCTGTTACCAAGAGTGTTGACTGTGGAACCAAGTAAACGAAAACTGTTAACTATCTCAATCTCTTCACCATCTGTTCTGATGCTGCCAATTGGCCGAGTGGTGAGAATCTTTGTTTTCTTGATATTGAGCTTCAATCCATATTTGCCATATCCTCTTCTAAACCCAGCTTGTATTTCTGGTAGTTCTCTGTTGATGTACTATTCCAGTCATTTTTGTATGATCTTAAGTATATTTACTTACATGTGATATTAGTGATTTTGTTCTGTAATTTCCACACTCTGTAGGATCACCTATGTTTGTAATGGGAATAAATATGGATCTCTTCCAGTCAGTTGGCCAGGTGGTTGTTCTCCAGATTTCTTGGCACAACCTGGTGAACATGTCCAAGGCTCTGTTTGTTGAAATATGCCAGCTGGTATTCCATCAATTCCCAGGGCCTTGTTTTTTGCCTATTCGTTCAGAGCAGCTTGAACTTCACCCTTCATCAACATTACTTCTTGAATATAAAATGTTTCATGAAATTCTTGTGTGTCAGCCAATTATTTTTGATACAGTGACTCTGTATACTCCTTCAGTCTTTTGATGCTTCCTGGATCATTCAGTATTCTGTGCATCACTTCCTTAAGTGTTGGCAAGTCTTGAATTTATTCTTCAGTTCCTTCAGCTTAAGAAATGTTGAGTGACTTTGTCTCTTTTTATTTTCAGATTCCAGCTCTTTGCATATGTCATTATAATACTTTGTCTTCCTTTTGAAATCTTCTGTTCAACTCCTTACCTTCCTGATTTCTTCCCTTTGCTTTGGCTTCTTGATGTCCTAGTGCAATATTCAGCGTCTCTTCTGACGTTTACCTCAGTCTTTTCGTAATGATAGTTTGTATTCTTCATGGATAATATTCTTGATCTCCCACCATCAGAACAAAGAAAGGAAACTTTGCATGGTTCGAAATCAGGAAAGATGTGCATCAGGGGTGTGTCCTCTTTCTAAACCTTTTCAATCTATACACAGAAGAGATCATTTGGGAGGCCGTGCTCTATGAAGATGAATGTGGCATCAGGATTAGGTAGAAGACTCATCAACAATCTGTGTTGTGCAGATGACATGACCTTGCTTGCTGAAACTGAGGATGCCTGAAGCATTTGCTACAGAATGTGAAGGACTGTAGTCTGCAATATGGATTGAAGCTCAACATTAAGAAAACAAATATTCTCACCACTAGGCCATTTGACAGCACCATGTTAAATGGAAAACAGCTTGAGATTGTTAGCAGCTTCGTCTTGCTTTGTTCCATAATCAGCACTCTTGACACCAGCAAAGACAAAATGCATTGGGAAAATCTGCTGTCAGGGATCTCTCCAGATTACTGAAGAGCAACAATGTCAGTCTAGAAACTAAGGTATGTCTGATACAGGCCATCGTCTTTGCAGTTATTTGCTATGCATCAGAGAGCTGGACAATGACTAAGGAAGAATCTATGCCTTTTAATTGTGGTATTTGATAATAGTGTTGAACATACCATGGACTTTGGGAATGTTGCCAAGAGGGAGAGATAGGGTACACTGTCTCTCCATCCTTCATGCTTGGAAGAGTGGAGAGATAGCGCAAGAGAGAAGGACCCCAAATGAGATGGATTGACACAGTAACTGAAATCATAAGGGTAGATGTGTCAGAGACAGTGAAATTGGTTCAGAATAGAGCAGCATTCAGAGCTATTGTTCATAGGCCACTGTGAATTGCAGTCACCTTGATGACACAAAATAACATAATACATTAAGTTATTTTTCAGAGTAAGTATATATTTTTGAAAGAAAATTTAAGGGACTATTTCTTTTTTAAGTAATCTTTTTTTCCCTTTTCTTTCATTTTGTAGGATTTTGGCTCCCAACAGCAGTTGTCAAGATGTTGAGACCCTTTATAACTTTCTAATCAAGTATGAGGTATGAGAAACTTTTTGCTTGCCTTTTTAAATTTTATGTATGTTTATGTACAAAATGTGTATATATTGTGTTTCATTCATGTACATTGTGTATCACAATTAATTCATTCACATTATATTTCAAAGGATCATTCCCATACACTGTAAAATATTTTAAATGTTTGCCCAGTTTTCAAGATAAACAAGTTTTAATATAGATTAAACACAGTAGAAATTCTGAAATATATTGTTGTTGTTGTATACTATAGAATCAGAACTAACCCATAAGTGACACACTAGCGGGTTTTCAGAGGCAGTTAATTGCCTAGGAGGAGATTATCCTTCTCTTGTGAAGTAGCTGGTGGCCTCAAACCATGTGTCTTCAGGATTGCAGTGCAGCTACTTGCCTTGGAATGCTGTTTTGTTATGATTGCATTAAGTTCTTGAATGCCATAGAATTTTCCCCATAATATATTCAGTACTTTCTTTTCTTTCTTCAGAAAAGGCATACAGTGTATGAAACTCAATTTCTGCAGCATAGAATTTGTTTCCTCCTAAATGCAATCATTCTCTTTAGAGGTGCTGTTGGCATTTTGGGTGGTATTTTTTTCTATTTGTTAATATTACAGCACGGTCTCATGTCCAGGTACCAGGTAGCTTTTAGAGTCATTGTGAAAACTAAAAATATCCTATTAGATACCTGAATGGCCCCTAGTTAGGAAGAGCCACTTGTGGTTAAGAACCATTGATTACTGGAAGGGAAAGTTATATCATTTCCTCTGTAGCAGCCGTTTAGATCTGGAGATAGAGCTGAAGTGAAGTTACAGTAGATTTTGTGTATTAACCTGAATACTTGCCCCATCATTGCTGATTAGGGAAAGTCTTCCTTTGCTTTTCAATTTCTGTTTGCATGAAGCTTAGTGGCAATTTCTACTATATATTCTTATTTTTCAGCTGTGCATATGTATTTCTTTTTAAAAATTCTAAATGAACAAATGAGTCCCTAGGTGATGCAAACAGTTTTTACCCAACTGCTAACTTCTCCTCACTCCTTGGAGGCAATTATGGTAAAACTTCATCTTGCCTACTTTGAGCTTTTTGTCAAGACATGGCCAGTACTTGGCAAAAGACATCATTTTAGGAAAAATAATTTTGTTGTTATGTACCATTGAGTCATAACTAACTCATAGCTGATCTTCCATCAGGTTTTCAGAGGCAGTAATTGAGTGGGAGGGGGTTATCCAGTTTTCTTCTGTGCAGTGGATAGTGGATTGGAACTGTGCCTTTGGGAGACAGATTGACAGTGGGCTTGAACATGACAGAGGTCCTGAAGATGGCACAAGATAGGACACGCTCTGATATGTTGTCCACAGAGTCACTGTGAGTTATAATTGACTTGACAGCACCTAACAACTACAGTAATTAACTTTAAGGTTGTCAGTTCAAACTACCCAAATTGCTTTAGAAGAAAGACATAGCAATCTACTTCGGTGAAGATTATAACCCAGAATACTCTGTGGAGTACTACCACTCTGTAACACATGAGGTTGCAGAGTCAGAATTAACTCAGTAGCAGCAGGTTTTGCTTTAAGGAAGGAATAGAATATATACTGATCTCATAAGTATTGTGAAGCCCAAGCTCTAAAAATATATTTCTTCACTTTTATTCTTGCTTAAGGAGCTGTGTTGGCCTTGTGGTCAGAAGCTGTGCTGCAGTCCTCATGTCGTGCAGTTTGAATCCATTGGCTGCCCCCCAGGAGTAGGATGAGCAGTCTCCTCCTGTGCAGTTTACATCCTCAGAAACCCCCCTGGAGGGTCAGCTTGTGAGTCGGTTCCCACTCGACAGCACAGAACAAGCAATATGGTTCTTGCTTAGCTCTTTATTTAATCTTTTCTTTTGAATGAATAGAATTATTACTGACATAATTATTTGATCATAATTATAAACACATTCTGTACTTAACCATAATTTGCAGAACTCATTGCTGTTGAGTCAGAACCAACCCATAGCTGCTGATCCTCCAGTGGTTTTTTTTCAGAGGCTCTGAATTGTACAAGAAGAGATTGCCCATCTTTCTTTAGAGGAGCAGCTGATATATTGGAATCACTTGACTTTGGGTTGACAGTGCATCTCTTTAATTACATACATACACTGCTCTATATTATATATGTTTTTGTAATTATAAACACATTATATATGTGATATTCATAATATTTATATATTATAATGGAATATAATCTTTTTAAGCATATAGTAGTAGTCACACTTGCTTTCTTAAAATAAACTATGACTTATTCATTGCAAATACGTTTTTTAAGAGACATAAACGTAGATTATACAC